TGCCACTGAGGATGTTGCGGCCGGGGAGGTCCGCAAGTTCAAGATCAGCAAAAATTCACCTCTTTACCTGAGCGCTTCAGCTGTGATTCAGGTGGTTTTCTTCTTCACTGGTGCCAAGGGCTCGCTTTATCAAGACCCCTTCCTACTCAACATCCCACCCATCTCCACCTACTGCACATCCTACTGGGTCAGCAGCCTGGGTGACTACAAGAACCATGTGGTTCTCATCGCCCAAAGCGAGAACGCCAGCACCACCACCCTCAACGAGAATACAGACAGGAGCATGTCCTGGCAAGCAATTCCGGGCACAGGCTTCTCCTGGGCCACTGTCACCATGAGCAAGCCAGAGGAAATCCAGAGCGTCGAGCACCAGCAGACACCCCTTGGGCTCCTGGTCTTCGGCTTCCAGAATTACGCTGGTTACGGTTTCACCGGGCTTTGCGCCACGAGTGAGTAGGACCAACACATGGTTGCATCTTGCCAATGGCTGGGTCTTCTCCATGGTTGCCATCCATGTTTCTTTCCCTTTTTCTGCAGCTTTTGATCCACTTCCCTGCACAGACCTGGGCTGCAACACGTGCGAGGTGGAGGACAGGGAAACCACGTGCGTCCAAGAAATCATCTCGACCTGCTGGGCCACTGGCGCTCTCCACTACCACACCTTCGACGGGAAAGACTTCAGTTTTGTGGGCACGTGCACCTACACCTTGACCAAGACCTGTGAGTCGGATCCGACCCTGCCCGTTTTCAGTGTCGAGGCCAAAAACGAACACAGGGGTAACCCAAAAGTCTCCTACGTCAACTCTGTGACCATCCACGTCTACGACATTACCATCACTATCGTCAGGTCCGAGAACGGGATCGTGAGGGTATGCAAGAAAAATAATTATCAAATCCAAAGCAATATTATGGTATTTCACTGGAATAATGTCTTTAATGATGATCTTGAGGGTCTTCTCCAACCTAAATGATTCTATGATTTGCTGTGCATGGGTTGGTTATGCTATTGCATGGTCATCGCTTGCAAGAAGATACCTCAAAGCTCAACAAACTCCTTTTTTTTGCCCCATTTTTGATGTTATGTGTTTGTTTTTCATGGTTTTTTTTCCTCCTCCAGGTGAACAACCGTCGGTCCCACCTCCCCATCTCCCTCGCCCAAGGGAAAGTCCAGCTGCAGCAGAAGGGCAAGTCTGTGCTGATTAAAACTGACTTCAAGCTGAAGATCCTCTATGACTGGGATGACCACGTGGTGGTGAAGATCCCTGGTAGGTTCTCCGGCAAAGTGTGTGGGATGTGCGGCAACAGCAACGGTGACGCCCGGGATGATTCCCTCATGCCCGATGGCAACCTGGCACAGGACCCCGTGGAGCTGGGCCAGAGCTGGAAAGTGGCCGACAAGAGCCATCGCTGCTGGGACACCTGCAGAGGGGAGTGCGGACGTTGCCCGTTCGACAGGGCAGCGAAGTACAAGGGGGAGACATCATGCGGGTTGCTCACCCAAAGCCTGGGGCCCTTCGAGCGCTGCCACGCCGTCGTCGACCCCAAGGTCTACCTGAAAAACTGTATCCATGACCTCTGCCTGAACGATGGGATGCACATCATTCTGTGCCAAGCCCTCAAAGCTTATGCGGACAGCTGCCAGGAGAAGGGAATCACTGTTTCTGACTGGAGGACACTGGCACGTTGTCGTGAGTAGCTCCTGGTTGACCGAAAATCCTCCCCCTGGGTGGGCAGGGAGCTGTGACCTTAATTAAGGTGGGTGTAATTAAGGTGCGATGGGATGGGAATGAGCAGAAAACAGCCATAAAAGGGAAATTGCACCAATGGGAATGTTTGTCTCTTCTTAGCGCTCTTGATCTCCCAAACGAGGTGGAGCTGGGTCATTTTGAATTAGGCTGCACAAAGCTGGGCCTGAAAGGGCTGTGGGTCCCAAGCATGCAGATTCATGGGCTGGAAACAGTTATTGCAGCAAGTCCAAGCGGAAAGCCCCAAAAGTTCATGCAGACTCCAGGAAGTCCATGGAAACTCCAGAAAGTCTGTGTAGAAAGTCTAGGAAGTCCATGCAGAAAGTCTGTGTGGAAAGGCCAGAAGGTCCAAGTCCCAAAAGTCCAAGCAAAAAGTCCCAAAAGTCTGTGCAGACTCTCAAAAGTCTCTGCTGAAAGTCCAGAGAGTCCATGCAGGCTCCAGAAAGTCTGTGCAGAAAGTCCAAGTCCCGAAAGTCCATGCAGAAGGTCCAGGAAGTCCATGGAGACTCCCAAAAGTCTCTGCTGAAAGTCCATTCAGAAAGTCTGTGCAGAAGGTCCACCAAGAAGTCTGTGGAGACTCCCAAAAGTCCAGGTAGATAGTCCAGGAAGTCCACGCAGGCTTCAGAAAGTGCATTCAGAAGATGCGTGCAGAAGGTCTGGAAAGTCCATGGGGACTCTGGAAAGTACATGTAAAGCTCCAGAAAGCCTACGCAGGTTTCCTTAGCACTCTCCTACACCTTCGTACGGCCAGGGAGCATTATCCCCGCCATGACCATGGTGTCCCATCCCTTTGACAGCTCTCTCCTGCCCGAACAATAGCAATTACACCACGTGCGGCACTGCCTGCCCCACCACCTGCAACAGCGCTGTGATGCCCGCTGACTGTGATGCCTCTGGCTGTGTGGAGACCTGCAAGTGCCAGGAGGGCTTCGTGTTCGATGCCAACAAGTGCATCCCCAAGGCTGAGTGCGGCTGCATCTTCGAGGGCCTCCTCCACGGCCTCCACGAGGAGTTTTGGGGTGACAGCACCTGCACCAAACGCTGCGTCTGCGACGCGAATTCCCAGACGGCCGTATGCCACTGGGCCAGCTGCCATGCCACGGAAGAATGCCGGGTGGAGGGTGGCATCCAGGATTGCTACCCCAAGATCTATAGGACCTGCACAGCAGTCGGTGCCACCCACTACAAGAGCTTCGATGGCATGGAGTTCATCTTCCAGGGCACGTGCATCTACCAGTTTGCTGGGTTGTGCAAGAAGATCCAAGGTCTGGTGGACTTCCAGGTGCTGGTGCAGAATGGCCGCCAGGGTGACGAACATCTGTCCTCCATTGCTTTCGTGATGGTCAAAGTCTACGGCAAAAACATCGTGATCAGCCAGGAACACCCCGGCAAAATCAAGGTGAGTTTAGCAAATGTTTCTTTGTCTAATATTCACGTTCTTCACTTTCTGCTCCTCATCCCAACCTCCTAGTCCCATTTCTTCTCTTCCAGCCTCACTCCTCTATTTTTTTTTTTTTTCCTGTACTGGGTAACGCTGAATATTTTTCTCCAGCCACACCACTGAGATCCAGAGCTACCAGGTCTGTTTGCCCCACATGAATCAAGATAAAATTTAATTGCCTAAATATAAGGATCTCCACCTGAAGCAGGAGACTGGTGTGTGATATAAGCCATGGAGCCTCAGGCATCGTTCATCTCAAAGCTGGTGGGCATCTGTATTTGGGGCAGATTATTAAATCTGAAAAGTCTTCATCTACTGCTTTGGCTGGAGCCCAAATTGCAGGTGGCGTGAAAACACAATTTGCCTTTACTGTTGGACACCAAATTTTTTTTTTTTTTTTTGCTTATGTCCTCAGATCAATGACCAGTTGGCCAACCTACCGTATTACCGCAGCGACAGGAAGATCTCCATCTACAGAGGTGGGCACGAAGCGGTGGTAGAGACAGACTTTGGCCTCACTGTCACCTATGACTGGCAAAGCCAGGTCACCGTGTCGGTGCCCAGTGCTTACGCAAACGCCCTGTGCGGCCTCTGCGGGAACTACAACGGGAACCCAGACGATGAGATGATGATGAAGAACGGCCAAGTGACATCAAACCCAGACAGCTTTGGGCACAGCTGGAAGGTGACCGACACCCCGGGCTGCGTGGAGCTGTCACAGGTGCAATGTCCTGCCTTCTCGGCAGTTCTGCAGGACCAGGAGTCCTCGAAGACAGGTTGTGGGATCCTCACGCAAGTGGGTGGACCCTTCGGAGCTTGCCATGCTCATGTGGACCCCATCAAGTACTTCCACAACTGCGTGCATGATTTGTGCCTCTTCCCGGACCAGAAAGGTGTGATATGCCTGATCATCGCCCGCTACACCGCTGCCTGCCAGGCTGCTGGTGTGACCGTTGGCACATGGAGGACGGATGATTTCTGCAGTAAGTTGGGCTAATTGGAGGGGGGGTTTGCTTCATGGGGGGTCATGAGCATCCAAGGGTACCCCAATCCAGGGCCAAACCCATGTGGGGACAAACCAGAAGTGGGAATCGTCTCACTTAGTGGTGCTTTGTCCCACCAAAATTCCAGGTTGGTGCCATCATCTCTGTTTACAGCCAGTGCCCAGAAACAAACCCTTCCAGGGAACAAGATGTCTCATCTGGCTATGATAGGTCAAATAATTTAGCCCCAATAAGCCCCAATTTCTTTGCGCTGGCTAAAACAAGAGTTGAGGGCTAATTGCCTGCATCGCTTAGAGGGCAAAACACATGAGATGTGCCGAAAATATCTAAATCTGGGGAGAGGGACCTGCCCTGGAAGTTGACTGCAGGAGCAGTTCTGTTGCTTGAGGGAATGTCCTCGTTTCCCCCATGACAATGGGGAAACCCAGGTGATTCAGGGGCCTAAAACCCCCACCTCAGAAGGGTTGAAGTGTCCCTTATGGACACCCCTTCCCCCATCATGTCCACAGTGAGGAAGAGATGACATTTAACCATGAAGCAATTGGTTTAAAAAAAAAAAAAAAAAAAATCTAAATCTGGTGAACATCATCACCAAGCACAACTCTGCCCCTAATTGCAGGAAAATTGCCGCATCTGGCCTGTAATTTCCTTGCTCCTAACGAATCTCCTTGTCTCATGGCAGGTATGTCGTGTCCTGCAAACAGCCACTACGAGATCTGCTCCCAGAGCTGCAGCCAGACCTGCAGCAACATCTACACCTCAGTGAAATGCTCAGAGGAGTGCAAGGAAGGCTGCATGTGCAACGAAGGCTTCGTGTTCAGCGGCGACGAGTGTGTCTCCATGTCCCAGTGTGGATGCCTCCATCAGGACTTCTACTACAAGGTGGAGGAGACCTTCTTCCCCACCAAGCAGGACAAATGTCAGTGCCAGGCTGGCGGCACTGTGGTCTGCCAAAGAATTTCGTGCCCCACAGGCAGCATAGGCAAGGTCATCAGTGGTGTCTTCCAATGCTTACCTGCCACACCTGTGGCCTGTGTGGCCATCGGTGACCGCAACTATCTCTCCTTCGATGGGATGGCTTTCAACATCTCGGGCACCTGCTCCTACATCCTCACGGAGACGTGCACCAGTGACTATGCTGAACCATTTGTTGTGAAAATCAAGAAGGATGCCCGGCAGAAGAAGAAGGTCTCCGGCATCCAAGCATTGTCTGTTGAAGTCTATGGGCTCACGTTGACCTTGACACGAGGCAGGAGGGGAGATGTCATGGTAAGGCGGTACTTCATGGTCCACCTCCTTCTGGGAGCAAACATGCTGGTGACAAAGTCTGTGGGCTTATGTTGACTTTGCCATGAGGCAAGAGGGATGCAGTCGTGGTAGGTCCACGCATGGTGGTCCACCTCTTTTAGGGTGCAAGCACGCACCCGTCAAAGTCTATGGGCTCATGGTGACCTTGACACAAGGCAAGAAGGGAACCATCACAGTAAGTCTGTGCTTTGTGGTCCATCTTTTTTTTTTTTTGAGTTCAAACGTTTTGGTGACAACATCTACAGGCTCATGTTGACCTTGGTGTGAGGCAACAAGGGACCTGTCATGGTGGATCGTGAAGCACAGCTGTACCTCTCCTTGGTTGCAAACATGCTGGTGTCAAAGTCTACAGGCTCACATTGACTCTGGCGTGAAGCAAAAGCTGCGTGGTCACAGTTAAGGCCATGTTCTGTTGTCCACCTCCTTTTGGGTGCGAACATGGGAGCCCCAAAATTGGTCTTCCTTGATGGAGGGAAGACCTCACTCCTGTCTCCAAGACAAAGCCATGCTCATCCCCACTTTGCCTTCCAGTTTCAAAGTGGGAGCCATAAATTCATTAAAAAGTTGGTTGGAAGGTGTTTCCCCCAATGTTTTTTGCTCCTACCTCCATAGCCTTCTCCTCGTAGCGTCCTTGAGGCTCACTGGAGGATTTCTCTCTCCCTGTCCCAGGTGAACTCCATATACCACCACCTCCCGGTCATCCTGAGCAATGGACGCATCCAGGTGCACCAACATGGTATGGGCGTCCTGCTTCAGACTGACTTCGGCCTCGTCATACACTATGACTTCCTCCACCACGTGACGGTCACAGTCCCGAAGAGCTACCAGAACCACCTCTGTGGGCTCTGTGGCAACTACAACGGGCAACGCAACGATGATTTCCTCCTTTCCAGTGGCAAACAGGCCCCCAATGCGATGGTCTTTGGCGCTGCTTGGAAAACGACTGATGCGTCCTGCGATGATGAGTGCCCCAAGGGTGACTGCCCTGTCTGCACGGAGGAAAAGAAGGTGGTCCTGCAGAAACCCAACTACTGTGGCATCCTCACGGAACCAAACGGCCCCTTTGAATCCTGCCACCGCCTCATCGACCCAGCCCTGTATTTCCAAGCCTGTGTCCACGACCTTTGCCTCACTGAGGGGGACACCCACATCCTCTGCCAGAGCATCCAGAGCTACGCCACTGCTTGCCAAGATGCTGGTGTCACCATCGAGGCTTGGAGAAGCCCGTCCTTCTGCCGTAAGTGGGTGTCAATGGGTGGGAAATGTCCTCCACGGCCGAGAAGTCACATCTCATTGGGATTAACTGCAAAATAGGCAGGGCTTTACAATTTATTTCTAAGGGACGTTGGGGCGGGGTATCTGTGCTGAGCACCCTCGATACATGGGGTGATGCAAATGGTGCTGTTGGGTTGGGAACAATGGGTGGGGAGGACGATGATGGCATGAAAATAATTGCACCTGGGAAAAGCCAGTGCAAGGGGTTGCGTTTTCATTGGCGCTGGCGATAAATGAGAAAAGCCAACGCAAACGCCAGCTGGGTGTGTTTTCACCCATGTTTTGGGCAAGCAGGAGAAGCCAATGCAAGTGCCAACCAGGTGGATTTCTGTTGGCATTTTGGGCAAGTGGGAAAAGCCAAGAGAAGCACCAACCAGGTGCATTTTCACTGGTATTGGGGTGCAAATGGGAAAAGCCAATGCAAGCGCCGACGGGGTGAACTTCCGTTGATGCTGAGGGCAAATGGGAAAAGCCGACACCGAGAAAAATTCACCTGGTTGGTGCTTGTGTTGGCTTTTCCCACTTGTCCCCAACACCAAGCACCAACGGGTTGCGTTTTCTCCAGCGTTCAGGCTCTGCCATCTCCCTGGGGTGCAAC